AATCTCTCTGTTTGCAACGTCTGAAGAGAACATTTTCTAAACTTCCAAAAAGAAGAAATTAAACAATGTTAAAATAATTCTCACCGTCTTGCCATTTTACCATTGCAAAGAAGAAAAGAAGAAACGAAGCAAAAGATAAATAAAAGAGAAAAAAAATCTCTCTGTTTGCAAGAAGAGAAGAGAACATTTTCTAAACTTCTAAAAAGAAGAAATTAAACAATGCTAAAATAATTCTCACCGTCTTGCCATTTTACCATTGCAAAGAAGAAAAGAAGAAACGAAGCAAAAGATAAATAAAAGAGAAAAAATATCTCTCTGTTTGCAACGTCTGAAGAGAACATTTTCTAAACTTCCAAAAAGAAGAAATTAAACAATGCTAAAATAATTCTCACCGTCTTGCCATTTTACCATTGCAAAGAAGAAAAGAAGAAACGAAGCAAAAGATAAATAAAAGAGAAAAAAAATCTCTCTGTTTGCAACGTCTGAAGAGAACATTTTCTAAACTTCCAAAAAGAAGAAATTAAACAATGTTAAAATAATTCTCACCGTCTTGCCATTTTACCATTGCAAAGAAGAAAAGAAGAAACGAAGCAAAAGATAAATAAAAGAGAAAAAAATTTCTGTTTGCAACGTCTGAAGAGACGAAAAAAAAAGTCTGAAACTTTTAAAGATTTTTAAAAGGCACTTCCTGTCGAACGGTGTGCGATGCGCGGTAAAGTACCCGTGAGAAAGAAAGGAGGAGAAGAAAAAAAAATGGCAATTCAACGAGATCGTTTTAGAGCTGAAAAACAACGAAAGCTCGACGCCTACACTTCTCTGTCTATAATCTTACTTGCTCTCCTTGTCTCTCTCTCTCGCTCTCTCTCTCTCGGTTCCACGCGACACGTTACGTATTTGAATCCGTAATTGACGAGGAAGATTGCGTCACCACTCGTGGTGTTCCCCTTTTCTAACACGAGCCGATCGCGTAAAACTCATTTAGAGCGGCGAACGGGTGCTCTACTCGTGCTGTCATTGAACAATTCCCCCCTTCCATCGATCACCGCGTATCGTTCACGCGATTCACGGCTGATAAATTAGCACGAAAGCACCGCCAGCCAATCCGGGAACGTCGCACACGGTTATAATGACTTTCGCAATTTTTCCATTGTTCAATTATCCCTTTGCCGCGTGCTTGTGAACTGGATGACGACGCGATTCGCGTTAACGTTTATATTTTTTCTTCGCTTTTTCAGTTTTTTCTTTTCTTTTTTTCTTCTTCTATTTGTGTTTCATTGTTTTCTTCTTTTTTGCATTTCAGAATGTTAGAGAATGTTGAGAGATAGGATTGTATTAGGAGAATTTAATAACTGAATTTTAATCGGAATTTCTGAGTATGCGAATGTTTGAAAATAGGAATTTTTGGGTATGCGAGTGTTTGAATTTAATAGGAATTTGTTTTCTCTTGACTTTTTCAGTTTTCTCTTTCCTTTTTTCTTCTTCTATTTGTGTTTTCTTGTTTTCTTCTTTTTTGCACTTCAGAATCTTTTGCACTTCAGAACGTTGAAACGAGAGATAAGATTGTATTAGGAGAATTTAATAACTGAATTTTAACTGGAATTTTTGAGTATGCGAGTGTTTGAATTTAATAGGAATTTGTTTTCTCTTGACTTTTTCAGTTTTCTCTTTCCTTTTTTCTTCTTCTATTTCTGTTTTCTTGTTTTCTTCTCTTTTGCATTTCAGAATCTTTTGCACTTCAGAGCGTTGAAACGAGAGATAGGATTGTATTAGGAGAATTTAATAATCGAATTTTAATCGAAATTTTTGAGTACCTATACGAGTGTTTCAATTGAACAGGAATTTTTTTGGAATGTCTGTATTTTTTAATTCGAATGTTTGACGATGCGACGGACGATTGGGTGACGGTAGACGACGAGGAAATTAGGTCTGTTTGAGTTCTCAAGTGACCCAATCGAGCTCGAGTTTCCTCCAATTATACGACTTACTCGAACAGGAAATTTTCTCAATCTGCCCTCGGCCTTCGCTCGAACAAGTCACCCTTTATTAGGACCTTTCAATCGTCGGCGGGATAATTAAAGCAATTTGAAACACCGTGATGAGACACAGAAATGATACGAAATTACATCAATTTGCAATTTTTCCAAAATGAAATTTTCAATTTATCGTATCATGTTTTTCATTGATTTAACTATTAGAAGACTCCAATAATTGTTTCCACATTCAACTAAAATAAAAAACAAATGCTAGAACACTTACGCAAAATCATTCAAAAGTGCAAAATTCTCCGAAACACTCAAATAATTTTTTCCACACTCGACTAAAATAAAAAACAAATGCTAAAACATTTATGCAAATTATTCAAACGAACAAAATTCTCTCAAACGTTCCAATATTATTTTCAGCGTCAAAAACTGGAAAAAAAAAAAATGCGAGAAGGCAGCGAAACCCGCGACCTCGAAGAACGGAACGAAAAAGGCGAAATAAAGGCACTGCCGGAGGAAAGTCCCCCGGTTGATGTATCTCCTCGGTATTCAGCAATTCTGAGGAATCGACGCACGATAGAGTGGCGTCCGCGCGATAGAGAGCCGCTCCTGACCGTGATAATCGTCGCGAAATGGCCGAGAACTCTAAAACCGTTCGGTCCGCGTGCCGCGTCGGCCTAGAAGGTCTCGGGAAGTCCCGAAAGCGAAGTGGCCGATTGGCCGACAAGGAACCCCGGCTTGTGCCACGCCGACCATCACTCGACCACGCGGGTCAACGCCACGTTTCCATTCCCCGAGACGGCAATTCTTTCTTGCGAATTCAATTTTATTCGATCTCCCTACCTCTGAAAAAGTATTTCTCTTTTTACTTTAAAATATTTCTAAGTACTTTGCGAAGATTTCTAATCGTTTGGTGTAATAACTGGATGGAAGTAAAGAAGAGAATAGAAGAGTTTGAAGACTGTTGATAGAGTAAACAGAAGAGGGTTGTATAGTTGAAGAATTGGCTCGTTTTTAAGCTGGCACATTTTGAGAAGAATCATTTTTCATTGAAGTTTCAACTTCTGGTGGAAGTAGAACAGTTGGAAGATCGTTGATAGAGGAGAAAGAAGAGAAGCAGGAAGAAACTTTAATTTCTGAACGATTGGTTGGATTTGTTGAACAATTGTTTCACGTGTAACAATGAATTTTTTGGCAAAGATTGTCGTAAGGAAGTTCGAGGTGTATTGATAAAGTAAGAAGAAGAAGAAGAAGTGGAAATGAACTATTTAGAAATATTTTAGAATATTTCTGAACACTCGGTCAATTTACTGGAATAATTGTTCGAAAGAAGGGAAAGAAGAAGCGTGACACTTTATTTTTCAAAGTGGAAATAGAAGTAGCAGAGACGTTACAGGACGTGGTAACATAAGATGTGTGCGGTCTACACGATACTATATCCAACTTCTGACTAACGATAAATTGAGAACAGTTTTTTCAAGTAACACTTGGCCAGAAAAATCGACTCTCTGCGAAGAAATCAGTGGGGAGGCACAGAGGCGAGCGTAAAGTGAAGCGAAACGACGAACAGCTTTGATAAAGAAAGTCAAGGTGAGTCACGATATCGATAATTCAACACTCCAAACCGATCCAGTACTTCCCCTAATTGTAAAAGACCACGTTTTATCTATCGAGTGTTTGAGAAACATCTCTTTAATCTCTGGATAATCGGTTTCTCTTCTTCGAAGAGTGTTTCCAACGGTGAGAATGCCAATTTTCCAATCGTTCACCTAAATATCTTCCATTTTGCAGAGTTTCGAGGAGGGAAATCACGAAGAAATCCCGAAGAATCGCTTTCCCCGAGAATTCAAGCCTGATCGTCGCTATTTATCGTTGCCCGAGGAGGAAACTCTCGATTTTGTAAAGCAAGCGTTCAAGAGGGACATCCTTATCTATCAGATAATTCCTACGAATTGTCGAGATTCTACGACTGGAAAAAATTCACCGTAGAGTCGAGAGACGCTTGAAAATCCATACGAAATCACTGGCTCTCGACGCGAAGAATCTAAACTTATCGGAAGATATCGTCGATCCACCGATAGGTGCATCGATGTAATTACACTCGATCGTCGATTAAACTTTCACTCGAAAATTCGAGGGAGACGTTGAAAGAAGTCACGAGATTACTTTAAACTCACCTCGTCGAATTTCAGGATCAAATTGTTAAATCTAACGATCCTCCTGGAGAACCGCACGGAGAACAACGACGCCAGATTCATCTGGCCAATTATCCCGCGAATCCGACTTCCAGGAACGAAGTCGTTGAAAACGGCAAAACCGCTCGCGATCGTCGACTGTTTGCCGACCGAAGGAAGAACGGGAAACAACTCCGCGAAATCGATCTCGGTCTCGTTGCATAACGAAAACGGCTCCACGTGACAGTTTCGTTTTACAGAAAACAACTCTACGATTACATTGACACCAGGAAGAGGAGCTTCTCGTTCAAAACACATCTACGATTACGTTGACACTTGGAGAACGACCTTTGCGATTGCAATGACACTTGGAGAACGACCTTTACGGTTGCAGTGACACTTGGAAAGGGAGCTTTTTACGGGAAACACCTGTGCAATTCCATCGACACTTGGAAATTGGATTTTTCGATTCCGTTCACTCTTGGAAACGGAGCTTCACAATTCTACTGACACTTGGAAACTGAGCTTTGCGATTCCATCGACATTTGGAAACTGAGCTTTACAATTCCACTGACATTTGGAGAACGAGCTTTACAGTTCTGCCGACTCTCGGGAGAGAAGCTTTGCAATTCCATAAACTCTTGGAAATCAAGCTTTACAGTTTCGTTGACGTTTGGAAAACGAGCTTTACAATTCCATCGACTCTCGGGCGTGAGGTTTTGCAATTCCACAAACTTTTGGAAATCGAGCTTTACAATTTCATCGACACTTGGAACGCGGAGCTTTGCAATTCCGTCGACATTTTGCAAAAACGAGCTTTGCAATTCCGCCGGCTCTTGGGAGAGACGCTTTGCAATTCCGTAGACTCTTGGAAATCGAGCTTCATAATTCCATCGACTCTTGGAAATCGTGTTTGCATTGGAAAACGAGCCTTTCCTTTAGAGAAATCATGGGCGTGGACGAGCCAACGATCCGAAAAATCTGCGGAGATGGACTATCGCTTAATCTACGCTCGAACGAGCAGATCCTCGAGGTAACAGGCGACGGATGCAGCATCACGATGTCGAAGAATCACGGCAGCGTGAAGATCATCGGCGACGGTTGTCGACTGAGGATCGATCGTAACATGGGCGACGTAGAGTACACCGGAGACGGTGGACAAGTGCTTCTTGGACCGAAATCGACCAACGACAAAGTGAAATACACCGGCGACGGTGGTAGAATCAGTTTGAACGGTGAATCCTGGAAGAAGAACCGGAAGTCGAAGGAAGACACCGATAAAAAGGTGAACGTGAAAGGTTCGACGAAGGAGAAGCAAGCTTCGAGAAGCCAGGAAGACGCTGAGAACACGTTTAACGAAGGAAAAGACGTGAAACGAAACGAAGAAAGGAGAAATGGGAAATCGACGAAGTTCAGGATCATCACCAGTATTGATTGCGACGAGAAGAACGTGAAAAGATGGTTCGTATGTCCTGAGACTGTTGTGAAGAACTTCAACGGTGCTGCATTCGTGAAGATCGAGCCTAAATCGACGAAAACGAAGATCGAGGTGAAGCGATGGGAAGATTACGAGAAAGATAGTTGTGATTCGCCGGCAATTAGTGTACCTTCGAATCGTGAAAATGTCGATTTTAATCGCCGCGCGGACATGTTCGAAGACCGAGAGGAAACGGCGATGATTTAAACGGCAAATCATCACGATGACATAAATCTGAGCTGAAGTTCCTAGATATTAAGAGATATAAATTGCGAAATATGTTTTTCTGCGGAGGATGATACAATGGATAAAAGCGTATCGGACGGGTGAAGTTTCTTCGACGATTCTTGAAAATTGTTTTCGACGAATAAGGGAATATTGAGAACGAAGTAATACCGGAAGTGTACTTATACAAGTTGACGAGTATCGATCATGTTGAGAATTTTACTAGTTTTCCAACTTGGATACATTGAAAATTTCACGAAGTTAGGAGAATTTTTCATTTTTACCGATAAATGATGTACTTAGATGATACACAATTTTTTAGGTTAGTTTTAAACTAATTTTAGATATTTCTGATCGTTCAAATAGAGTTGATGAATTTAGAAAAGAACTTTTTACTTTACCGGTTAATAATACACTTGAACGATACTTAATTTTTTATGTAAACAAGACGTGCAAATTTAGGTTAGGAAAAATCTTAATTTATTTATTAATACATAGCAGAAACACGTGTACGGTTAGCCAGATAATGAACCAGCACGTGCGTTCCATCATCTATTCAGCCATATATCAGTGATAATTACGGTAAATGGTCATACAATATTTATGTACAATATTTATACAATCCGTAATCGTACAGGTGGTTATTCGTCAGTATTTCACCCGTTTCTTCAGTATTCATCGTTATCGAGGTTCGAATAATTCCCGCGACAGTGACGAACTCGTCGATAACGTAATCTATGCAATACCCGGCTACTCGCTGAAGGAAAGACTCGCGTATGCTAAATGTACATCGTGTCTTTTTACATTCCTCAACTATCTAGCATAATTTAACGTGTCATTTGTCTAGTTTATTGATCCGTATTTTTTGAGCGATTTTTTTTTTTAACGAGAACAGTATTACGTTGGCAACGTTGTGATCGACCTCTCATATCAAAATATTACGATAAACTGATCTCGGTATATGTACACTGTCGATCAAAACTTTGAGAACACTTGTGAATTTATATTAATATTAAATTTGCTGTTGATTCTTCGTAATTTTCAACATTGATCCTCTGAAGATCAATTTATTTTAAAGTTTTAATTAGATTGCAGTGATAAAAAGTTCCTAGAGTTGGTAACATTTTTTTAAACATTTTCAAGAATCCAACAATTTTGATCGATGCTATATATATTGTTTAAATACATCACGTGTTGTTAAATGAATAAAAATTGTGGTTATTTTAAACCATCTGATATTTACTTTCTCACCGAACCTAACCTAACCTCTTCTTTCGCGCAAATTTATCAGACTCCACGTGACTGATCTACTATCACCGACGAAAGCTACATTACGCAAGGCGTAATTGATATTCTAAAATATTCTAATATCGTATCTGACAGTGCAAACGACGTTGAATAATTACACACACTCGTATAACACGTCAAGCCTCGTCGATCACGCGGCGTCGATTGATAATTTGATAATTAAGAGACACGTGAACGGGGATGTCCAGCGCTGATGAAAACAGCGACGGCGAAAATGACGTCCGTGTTTGCGGCGTATCGCGTGAGAATTTCGTGACTTTCGACGATCGATATTATCGCGAAAATAAAATCCGAACGAATCAACGTCAACGGTCGCGTTCCATGGAAACGGTGTATGATCGATAGGGGTCGCGTCGAATCATCGACTAAAGATACGATATACGTATGCATTCGTGAGAACGATTGCCACGGTTCGTAATCCCCGCTCGTGCAATAATCTTCGAACATCTGCCGATGGTTTCTCTGAACGAAATGGGTCGAGACGTATCGGTGAAATTGCGAATTGCACGCGATGAATGCAATCGAAGGTTTACGGGGCACGTTTACTGAGCCACCGATACGTCAGATCTCTGATTTATCGACGCTCGTGCGCAGTTGAAATTATATAACGTATCGGTTGGATGATAAAGTGACGATGGTTTACTGAGTTTGTGGGTTAATGGTTCGTTAAATTACTAATTGAAGAATTTATTAAGGGACTGAATTGTTAACTCAATAGGTTGCCGAATTATACTCGATCTAGTTATAGGCTAAACAAGGATTTATTGAGTTAGTAACTCGTGAAATCTGTAATTCAATGTTTTACCAACTTAACGACTCAACAACTCACTGACATGGAAAATTAGTCAGTTACTAATTCGCTAATTCGTTGAGTTATTAACTTATTAACTCAGCAACTTGCTAATTTCGTGACTCACTAACTTATTAACTCAACGACTCACTAAATGCTAATTCTTCTGACTCGCTAACTTATTAACTCAATATTAGTAACTCATTAACTTACAATCCTACTAACTCACTAACATATTGATCTGCTAACTTACTCATTTACTAGCCCTACAACTAATTCATCTGCTTCTTAACCTGCTACCTTACTAACTCAATCATTCAACTATTCAAGCTCGACTGCAACAAAACCAAGTCTCATACTCGCGATACCAGAATCTATTGCAATTACCTAACAGAACACGTTTACAATAAACGACACCTTCAATCGAACCATCTATCCTTTTTTCCATGTGAACGATAAATATCACCTTCGATATAACAGTGTAAAAAGTATTAAAGACCTACAAGATCCTACAGAATCTACTATGTCATTAGTAAACTGGTTCTGTAAGATTCATTTTACATCGTCGAAGATGACTTGGATGTTTCTATTACATGAAATTTACGCGTAGTTCGATACGACCGATTTTTCCATTCTCCGCTAAACCATGTGCATATACTATACTTTTCCATCGAACTGCGTGTTATACCACCGATTGGAATCACAATGGTATCCATGCTCCACGTGCTCTGCTCAACCTGAGGTCGAGATATTTATTCATACCGGTTATGTAATATTTTGGGTCAAAGGTGCTCCAGATATCTCCGATTCCAACCGGTCCGTCTCGTTTATCTGAGGTCGGAATAAACATCGATCGGTATCACCCTGACCGTTAACCTACCGGTGAATAATTTCAAACCAGGAAAAAGAATCGAACGATATGTAAAGTAAAATTAGAATATTTCTTTTTTTTAACGGAGATCTAATTCGTATCGACAGGCAGGAAGATAAGATAATTGGATCGATCGTTCGATTAATTTATCGTTTAATGGAACGAATCATGTAATCTACGATAAATATGTTAATAAGATTAAGATAAAATTACGTACGTCTGTCTCTGTTCAGATTCTGCTCATTTCATCGGCAAAAATAATTAACAAATAAGTTTGTCACGATTTTCGATACACAACGATCTATCGGCAATTATTTCGATATCGATAATTACTTAATCTAATAAAAAAAGGTAATTTTTTTCAAACGCAATTTTACGAGATAAAACATTTACGAAGTTACGAAGAAAAGGACAATCGTCTCCCGTATAGAATCGCGTGGAATGTGATTCTACCAAAGTCGCTACTAAAAGGTTAATTTCGATTGTGGACATCCGAGGAAGTCCAGGACATCTGCGTTTCCGTTCGACAAAAGACTGTCTTCGCTTTATATGGCCACGGTATCCGCGCTCAGGGAACGGATACGTTCGTTCCTTCATTAATTCAAGGAGGCCCGGTGTCGAATCAAGGGCCACACACAGCCATTCAGCGACTTTCATACGCCTCTCTGACCCAGCTTTCTGCTAGGCTCAGAGGTCGCCAGTCGTAATGGAGGTCAACCGGGGATCGTTAGCCAAGTTTCTTACACGAGAAAACTCGCTTTACTTTATTAAGATCATTGGGGAACTGGGGGAGAAACGTAGCAAGAAAGGGAAAAAAAAAGGTAAGAAATTCCCCTCTATTTCTCTGTGTGTGTGTAAGTATACGTGTTCTCTACTGAAGGAGTTGCGGCTGTTCTCGTGGATGTCGAATTAGTTGGTCGCTCGAGGGGATACAGGAAAAGGTGTTTACCTTGCCGCGGTGCACTTGAACGTTTGTTACTGGATAATAATTGGAGCTCTCCAGGTTCAACATGTTTTTTGTAAATAAAAATTAAGTTCATATTCGTTGAAATTTTAATAGAAAATTTGGCCCAAACTTGTGGAATAATCTAACAGTTGCAGATTAACCTTGAAATAACTAACCTAACCTAACCTAACCCTATCTCACTTATTCACTTGTAAATCAAATTGAAACACTCCGTATATTATCACTCGTATGTCAATCTTACTAAAATAAAATAAATAACTAACTAACCTAACCTAACCTAACCTCACTTATTGACTCGTAAATCAAATTGAAACACTCTGTGTATTATCACTCGTATGTCAATCTTACTAAAATAAAATAAGTAACTAACCTAACCTAACCTAACCTCACTTATTCACTCGTAAGTCAAACTAAAACACTCTGCATATCATCACTCGTAAGTAAATCGTTCCTTCGTCAATTTTTTATTATTCTGCAAATATAAAAGTGCAAAAATTTTGCGAATCGATCTGAAACGAAAACACAAAGATTGCAAAACAATATGGTTTAAATTAAAGTAAAAAACGACGAGTGTCCCATAATGCAACGGGGTGAAAAAAGGAACGGAGACGAAGGAAGCGTGTTGGCAATGGGACAACGAAAAGAGCGTTTGAGACAAAGGGGGAGAGAAAGTCGATCGGTGCGGATGCAATTAACAAAATATAGCGAGATGAATAGAGCTTGGTGAACGCACGCTAAACTTCTACCCTAACTCAGCGAAACGTGCACCCGTTAATGAGGCCACGTGCACCTCTCCGCGCGGACAATGCTGACGGTTATATACCGGGTGGCGCGCACGTTACCCACGCTCGATAGCTCTGCAAATATTGACCTGTCTCGATGAAACTTCGTCTCGATGAAAATTCCATTACCTAAAAGAGGGTCGATGGATGTGTAGAATTGAAACCACTGTTCGAGGACTTCTCGATTAACTCGTCGAGACCCTAACCTAACCTCCAGACAATGTTAATTTCAATCACGTTTCCTTGTATGTGCTGTGAAAAAGTATTTGTACTTATATGTACATATACATTTTTGCATTTATGAAATAAAATCTATACGTATATTCACATTTACACTGAATTTTTATTTAAATATAAACTTTACATTAAATTATACTAATACTAAATTTTAAAAAATTTACATTTTTATCTGTAAATTTCAGTTGGAAAATTTTGTTTTTATTTTAGAAGA